AGTCAAATCACTCCGGAGCTTTGACTTAAAATCTATAAACTTAAACATCTTATAACATTCAATATCATAGGTCTCACTTAATTTCTGAAAAGAAGCCTGTTGGAGATACTCATTAACCTTTACCAGTGGTAGGGTCTCTTAAGGTCACAAAACTCAGGAGTGATACCATATCGTTTGTCGGAGCTTGCCCAAAAAATAGTTATATGCTTTGGCGAAGTATTTTACGGCAGGACGTAAGAAAGCCCAGAACCGATGGGTCTACATCGAAATTATTCTAGCACAAAACAGCCACGACTCCAAAGCGATATTATTTTGGTTTTTGGTGAGGCCAATCTGCAAATCCCTTCTACCCGCCTTCTGAAACTAAATAAAGGGGTCAGCAATATTAATTTATCAAGATAGTCTTTGAATCCACATTGTCTTCATATATTTGTGACCTGTTATTGTAATGCCACAATATGGCCTATCGCTTACATCGGGGGTTGTTCTCCTTAAAATTATATATATATATATATATAATTATAGATTTAACGTTTACTAGACCTGATGTGTTGGCCATTCCAGGTTATCTGCCTCAAATCAAATTTTCTGCTTCTCAAATTATTTATGTGTCCTATTACAGGTTTTCATGCCTTCCAATTTCCATCTATCCATATTTTCCTCGACTCCCTCATCACTTCAGGTGATCTTGCTGATCGGCGGTCGTGGCGTGAAGACCGGTGGTCTTGATAGCATTGATCTCTACGACGTCCGTTTAAATACCTGGATTCTTTTTCCGACTACGATTTCAGGAAAAAACACAGCGCCTACCACTAGTGAAAATAAAAGGGCATCTGGTATGTCGAATTTGCATCTCATCTCCGTATATTTTTTTTACATTTAACTTTTGATTATCTGGAAATTTTCATTTTTTCCCATTCTAGAAATGACCCTCATGATTTAGAGGATGTTTCTCGGATGCAATTTCTATGTTAACCTGATGTTAGGCTCACCCACCGGCTTGACATGTGATGAGCACACTTCGAGTCAGGCGATCTTACAATTTGCATGATCAGATTATTATGAGATTTCCAACGCCCCGTTCACCATTTACAGTTAGTTTATACACTTGTTGTTTTCCTAAGAAGGACGTGGACTGTCTCTAAAATATAAAACGTCTTCCCTCTGCAATTCCAAAGATGGAGACTTAGAAACGAAGAAATAAAAGGAGCAAATAGTATTTCCAATTGTCATATTTTAAAACGGCCGAATACGGTATGACGGAGCTGACAATTGAAAGACATTCATTGAAAGATGGCACCAAATAGAACACTCTAAACCCCACGGGCCACGGCGGAGCAAAGAAATAGAAGTGAAAGAACGTGACCGATTAAAAAAGAATGTTAGCTACTTGATATACCCTTATATAGTTTTCCATGTCAACTTTTGATTGTTCGATGTGGGGACGAGCTTTGATTGTGCAACACGAAATAAAGAGTCAAGATTAGTCACGAACTCAATTGATCTCTGCGCAAAAGGATGTTGAGCCATGGCTACGTACGGGTTGCAACAAAAACTAAACGTTGAATGGAAAAAATGTGGGTATAGGTCACTACATACTTTTTCATACTATCACTAGTGATACCAGGGTTTTTTATGCAATGTAGTGCAGTGTTTAGCGCCTCAAGATTGTAAGCTGCATTGTCATGATTCGAGTCCCACTGGGGATGCTGATGAGACCTAGGTGAGGCTTAAACTGCAGTCCACTCCAGCCTGAATGCGAATGACTTATGGTACAGCAAGGCTATATGAAATTAAATAAAGACGTAAATTCTACTCATATCAAGATGGGGAAATTCAACTACCAGTCCCTTTATCCCTTTAAACGAAATAGGCTGAATAAATGTTATATCTTGAACGTAGTATCTATTTTCTTTTCAGTCTTGTTAAAAAAAGACCATCTATTGGAGGAGATTTAACTTGTTTATATTACGACTTCATTTATTAATTCATTTGGTATAGAACAGATTGACTAGTAGTCGGTGGTATCACTAGCGTTTCTAATTTCAGCTTTAATAGTTCTCTTGTAAACATATGCTTTGACTAAATAGAAATAACTTAGCCTGACCGTCATTTTAATTGCTCTATAGCCTAAGTTTGAAGCAACTACTCCATAATTCAGCAAAGAGAATCTGTCTTTTAGCTTTTTAAAGTGTTGCTGTCTCAACCTTTGTATTCTGCTTTTTTATCCTTTCTCTGACTGAATTTTGTTTCTTTTGCTTCAGAAGACGAGACAGGTTTCACCTCTATTGCGCATCTGCCCGCTCTGCCCACTCCTCTCTTTGGCTGCCGGGCCGAGGTTCTAGAACAACCTTTCGCCAGAGTAATGCCTCAATTCAGCACTCTTTTAACAACACCAGACTCCCCGAATCTCAGGTCTACTAGCAATGCCGCTCCGGGCAGCGATTGTGGGGGTCGCACTGTTGATGATGCTGATTTATGCGAATCCTCTTGGCAAAGTGTAAACGGCATTTATGTGACCGGAGGTAACTCAGGCGGTCGAGCAGTAGCCACTGTCTACCAAATGCCCTGGATAAAAGCTGACGAACCTTCGACAACTTTGCCAATGCCAAGATGGTGTAGTGACCTGTCGCCCATGCTGGAAGCTAGGGCTGAGCACGGTATGACAGTACTGGACGGCAAGATATATGTGGTTGGCGGAACAGATGGAGATAAAAGTATGTATTCTCATCTTTCTTCTTATTTCCTGTATGTCTAACAATCTTGTCAGCTATAATTTTCTTAAACTACTTTGGAATTCAAAACTCCATTTTTGTCAATCTATTCGACCTTTTCCTGCAATTTTTTGGGTAAAACTTGAAAAAAT